TGTTAGGAAAAAATATAAAGAAAAGAATCAAAGACAATGCTACATACAACACCCAAGTTTTGACACCAAATTCAACCCCAGTTCTGCATCCATTCCTATCCCTACTGCTCTGTGTAAAACTAAATGTCCCTTCTCTTACATGTAAGTCATCCCAAGCTCTTTGGAGAAGGGCATGAGACATTTGATGTCATAGAGGAGGACGTTTCCAGCCTTAAAAGAGCGTCCACCTTCATCTTCACTCTTGCCACGCTTGCTCTTCACCTTCTGTGATACAAGAGGAGGAGGATTTTGATTTTATTGCTGTTTATTAAATTCACCATGACAAAGCTTATACTAATTTCAGTTTATGATGGCTGGGGATGATGGTATATAAGAAGGGATGATGGTATATAAGAACATGAAAATTGTGAAGACTAATCTTAATAACAAGAAAAGTTCAAATAAAGAATACAATGACCATATTGACAATAATGATTCGACCTGTAACATCACAAAGAATAACAATACCAAAATACAGGATGCCTTTTATCTTACAGAGAGCTATATATATTAGAGAGAAAGAAAAAAAATAAGAAAAACAAAATGCCAAGTCTTGAAAAAAAATTCAAATCAAATTTTCCCTTCCCTTTATGAGTTTGAGATATAATTTCAATCATGTCTGAAATTCATTAAAATTACTCCACAACAAAGAATATCTTAATTTGTAAAATTAAGCCTAACACAAAGGGTTAAATCTCCTCCCAACCCCCAAAAGAAATACCTAAAATTACCAACTATACCTTTCTACTATTCCCCTCACCTTGTCCTGGTAATAGTAATTTGATATGGAAATGTTTTGCTCTGTGGAAGGACTATGGCTGAGAGCACTGTACATGAAGTTATACTTGGGGGAGGTGGGCACTGCACTCGAGATCTGGGGCATGAAGTTGGTGATGTACGCCCCTAGTGCCGAGAGGGAGCGGGGTGTGCACGACTCAGTCCTTGAGGAACCCTTCTTCATGAATGTGGGACGTGCAAAACATACCAGCAGTCCTTGGAAGTAAAATTTTTGTTATCTGAGAAAGACTGATTTTTGAGAACGTTTGAGGATGTTTACCCTTTGCTGCTGAGTAAATGCTATACATGTCATGGTGATTTCATTGTTTCTACCTTGCACCAAAGAGAATGGGAGGGTGGGAATGTCAGAATCACCTTGGCATGTACAGCAATCACCTATATGCATGGGGTTACTGTTAGAGTCTTTGGTGTAGGATGTTAGAGGATGGTTATTATCAGAGAAGCATTTCTACTGACTCAAGTTTAAGGAAAATGTGAAAAATCAAGAAAATGTGAAACATAGTCATAAGGGAAATCATTAATTACCGTTTCATTTTTCATCTTACACTTTACTGTGGTTGCACTTGCATTAAAGTCAAGAATGTTTATTGCTAGTGAACTTGCACTGTTATAGAATATCTGTTCCCTTCTGTGACAGTTGGAAACTGAATATGAACAACTATCTATTCATTTTAACCCATTCACCCCATGTGGCAAGAATACATGCCATGCCCACTTTAATACACATTTATTTATTATATTTACACATAGATGGCTCTACAAGTTCTTAATTACAAAATAGTAAGTTTATTGGAACTACCTATGTCACCTGTTTACCCTTTTTCTTCACTTTAGGAAAGGGTTTTTTGTATCATTTCATTGTCTAAAATATTTTAATGACAATTTAATCATCATAATATCAATAGCAATAATAACAGTATCGATAGCACTGGTATTAATTTTCCCACCAATTCAATGAATGGGAAAATCAGGATCAGTAACTAGGGCCTACTGATAGACTCCTTGCCAGCTGAGCTCATGTGGAGCCATCTGTATGGAACAAAATTCACAAAAAAATACAGGGGACAGAACATAAATCCGGGGCGAGTGGGTTAAAAAAAATTATATATGGAGGATTCTGCTCAAAACTACAAATTCCACAAAGGACAGAGGACAAATTTGCAATTCTTGTTCTATTACACAGTATTTTGTCCCTCCTTTATCATGATATCAGAATCCTATTTTATCTGCAGACCTTAAAACTGATAATTGAAAGAAGCATTATATCCAACAGTAATAATCTGAAAATCAATTATTTCAAACTCCTTCCTTAGAGAAACTTTTAAAAAGTAATAACAGTATTTGAGTAATTACTTATTTGGACTTACCAGCACTGCAAAACCTTGCACCCGATGTTCTAGGGAAAGGCACACTATGATCCTGAAAGCTGCCATAAACTTGCCCTGGATAGCCACCTCCACTTAGTCTTGCCTCAACAGAGTTTACCCTCTCATCCCCCTAAGACATGGATGAACAATTAAACATTTGAAGTTTGTGCTGTATCATCAAGTTTTTCACAGAACATTTCATATAAAAATATAATTATATGCAATGATCAAAAAAGAAAAGAGAGAGAGAGAGAGAGAGAGAGAGAGAGAGAGAGAGAGAGAGAGAGAGAGAGAGA